ACTTGACCTCATGGTGGTGAAAGTATTGAGGGAATACAAATGAGAGTTCTGAGGAAACCAGACCTTTTCCATCAGTGCAGTGTTTCTCTCCGACTCTGGGAGCATCCCTGGACTTCAGCAGTGCCCTGTGAACTATTTGGAAGTGGTGGTTCCAGTCTGTTCACCACTTTGCTGCTGGCAGAGTTTTCCTTCTCCCTAAGACTGGGAGCATTGAAAAATAAGCTCTGCTGGAACAGGTTAGGGACCCCACTCTTACAGCAAGAAAAGGTCTCCTGTGAGCCAAGGGCTGAATCTGGGTGACACTGACAGCCATGCTTGGGGCCCTAAACTTCTGAAGAAGATCCAGGGAACTCAGTAAGCCTGAGGAGGGCTGGGACACACCCTCACCACGATCTGTCCCCACACCTGACCTGAGCTGTTCAGGGAGGCCATGTCTTCATGGCACCCAGGGAGTCCTGGTGCTAACCTGCTTTCAGTGACTTACCCACATCATTCAAGTCGTTTCGCGTGCACGCCACAGTGCCTTCATTGACGTCTCCACGGTGTGGACAGGAAGGGACATCACTAGGGATAGGCGAGCCACGGGACAGTGATCAGTGCCACATGAGCTATATAAGACAGGGCAGAGGACAGGAATAGTCTTGCCCTTTTCCATAAAGAGCTGCCAACTGAGGGACTAGCAGATGGCTAATTCTGAGCCCAGAATTCTTCCTAAGCCTTCCCTGGCCCCAGTTGTGTTCTTGTCCTCTTAGCCCGGCCATGAGAGCATCATGGTCAGACTCTGATCCTAGGGTCCAGGGCCTCAAGTAAGCATTTCTGAAGTATACAAGGAAGGGGTCCTACCCGATGGAACTGAAGTGTAGTGAAGGTGCTGCTCTGTCAGTGTGGAAAATGGGGACTGCTCCTCTGTGCCTTTCTCCTTGCTCTTTCCTTTCACCAGCAAGGCTGTGCTATTGCCTTGCGTTGTAAGGGAGGGTCTGGTGATCAAGGCTTACCTGACCTGGGGTCACTTTTCTTATGCCAGGACCCTGTGCAGCGGTTTCTGGTTGCCCAGGTTAGCCAAGATTTATATAATGCCTTTGTGACTTTTCTTCCTCTGGGGTGTTGGTACCCATCGTTGAGATGAGGAAAGAGACCTGCTCAGGTCTGTGTTTGGAAATAGCAAAGTCAGGATTTGAGCTCAGGTTGCCTGGCTCCAAACCTGTATGCTCTTTGTGCAGTGCTGCGCTGTGTGCCTGTCAGCAAGTTGTACTGTGCCCCACAGCAGTTCTTTGTTGAGTACACATTTGAGAAAACCCAAAATGCAGAAGCTATAGTAGCACCCAAGCCCGGCCTTTGTGAAAAGGAGCTCCACCCGCTTTGGGGCTGACAGCTCCCTATCCCAGTGGTCAAGTCAGCCCTCAGGTGCGGCTCATAAAGTGGCCTCTGCCAAGGCAGCATGCAGAGAAGCCACATAGTGTTTCTCTCAGAAAAATGCCACCTGTGCAGGCCACTTACTCTCCTGCACACCAGGAATGGGACTCAGGGTGGCCACAGTGCAGGTAGAGTGCAGTTGGCCACCACCACTAGCAGCCCAAAGCCCCTAAAGAAATCTGTGAAGGCAAGAATATCAAGACCTGAGTGAGCCACCAGCAGGGCAGCCCCGGCTTGAGCCTTCCGATGCTCACTTTTTCTGCAAACTGCTGTGTCCTCTGTGATACTTACATACCTGTTTAACACTTCAGGGAAGAAAAGTCAGAAGACCAGGACCTCCAGGGCCTCAAGGACAAACCCCTGAAGTTTAAAAAGGTGAAGAAGGATAAGAAAGAAGAAAGCAAGCATGAACCCCTGCAGCCGCCAGCCCACCACTCTGGTGAACCAGCAGAGGCAGGCAAAGCGGAGACCTCGGAAGGGTCGGGCTCAGCCCCAGCCGTCCCGGAAGCTTCTGCCTCCCCCAAACAGCGGCGCTCTATCATTCGCGACCGGGGACCCATGTATGATGACCCCACTCTGCCTGAAGGTTGGACCCGGAAGCTTAAGCAAAGGAAATCTGGCCGCTCCGCTGGGAAGTATGATGTGTATTTGATCAAGTAAGTAAGGGCAACTCCTGCCTCTGCAGAGCTGGGAGCCCTGGGTAGGTGGGAAGTTGGGGACAGGTGCTCAAAACTAATGGGGGTCCCTTAAAGTAGGAGCTAGTTGCTGCTAGTTGATCAAGAAAATGTGTGTGCATAACCCCATCTGGGTTAAGTAAGGTGGCTTCAGTAATGAGCACTGCTTGCAGGCAGCACTAGGTATGCTTGGAACAACTGGATGGAAGTCACTGCCCTGAGTGAAACGTGCACAGGGTAACAGTGTGATTTATCCTGCCAGTCCTTGAGACCTTGTTTGAAGATGGAATAGCAGTAGGACCTACCCGGGGTCGGGATGAGAATGCCAGGAGAGGTCACCTGGGAAGTGCTGAGGCCACAGGATCTGCCATATGTAGTAGCCTGGGCTCAGGAGGCCAGCAGAGTTCCCTGGGGTTCCTGCCATTTCTCAGCTGGAGAGCGTCCAGCTGAGAAGCTCTTCTCAGAACCCGCTACCCTCATCTTCTTTCTGGGAGAGTTGTTCTGTAACATTGCTTCATGAACCAGAAAAAATAAAATAGAGGAGCCATAGAGCTCAGTACACTCTGTGAATTGTGCTGGGAAAGGTGGGCTCTCGGGCAGGGCCTCTGAGGAAAGACACAGATAGGCCCCGTGTGCCTTTTCAACTGTCCCTTTTGCATTTGTCCAGCCTTGTGGGAGGGTCACCGGATGTTTTTGTTTGTTTGTTTGTTTTGATCTTAGAGAGAGGAAGGGAGGGAGGCAAGAGATGGGGGAAAAGACAGAAAGACATTGATGTGAGAGAGGAACATTGATCAGTTGCTTCCCACACACGTCCTGACCATAGGATCAAACCCGCAACCTGGGAATGTGCCCTGTCCAGGAATCATACCCATTACCTTTCAATGTATAGGATGATGCTCCAGCCAACTGAGCCACACTGGCCAGGTCCTGGGTGGTTTTTTTTTCTGGGTGTTTTCTATTAAAACAGTAACTTCCAAGCCTGAGCTTCAGAGGAGTGAATAAGTACATTTCAGTTCAGCCCCTTAGACAATCCCAAAATAGTTAGCAGTTTTCAAAGGACATTTACGGACATTTGCAACCTTGTTTGGCCCCAGCAAGTCTAAGAAGACTGAGCAAAGCATTATCCTATTGACATATGAGGAAACCAATTCCCAGAAGTGCTAAACAGCATGCCCAGATTCAGACAGGGTGCTGTACTGGCAGGTCATGCCCGGGCACCAGCCAGCAAGAATGGGCCCTGGCCTAATGGCTAGGCAGGGTCCCCAGGTCAGACCACTTCGGGGTTCAGAAGGGGCCTCAGTGGCATGCCGGTGGCAGCTGTGGAGCAGCTAGCACCAAGCTATTCTGGTATAGGAGCAGGCCGTATAGATGCCCACCACTGCCCAGCAACCTGATTGCTTCATGTATAATCGCGGCCGTGCCCCTCAAATTTTAGCTCATCTTGGCTTTTCTTAAATGTGACTCTGGCTCAGTAGTATCATCAGGTACATCAGCTGCAGAACCTCTTCTGTTAAACTTCGTCACTACCTTCTGCTCTGCCCTATCTCCAGCATTGCTGTGGAAGCTTCTAATCACTTTTTGTGTCTCTCCACTTGTTCCCACAGTCCCCAGGGAAAAGCCTTTCGATCTAAAGTGGAGTTGATTGCGTACTTCGAAAAGGTAGGCGACACCTCCCTGGACCCTAATGATTTTGACTTCACGGTAACTGGGAGAGGGAGCCCCTCCCGGCGAGAGCAGAAACCACCTAAGAAGCCCAAATCTCCCAAAGCTCCAGGAACTGGCAGAGGTCGGGGACGCCCCAAAGGGAGTGGCACCGCGAGACCCAAGGCAACAGCATCAGAGGGCGTGCAGGTGAAAAGGGTCCTGGAGAAAAGTCCCGGGAAGCTGCTCGTCAAGATGCCTTTTCAAACTTCTCCAGGAAGCAAGGCCGAAGGGGCTGGGGCTACCACATCAGCCCAGGTCATGGTGATCAAACGCCCTGGCAGGAAGCGAAAAGCCGAAGCTGACCCGCAGGCCATTCCCAAGAAACGGGGCCGAAAGCCAGGCAGTGTGGTGGCAGCTGCTGCCGCTGAGGCCAAGAAGAAAGCCGTGAAGGAATCATCCATCCGGTCTGTGCAAGAGACCGTGCTCCCCATCAAGAAGCGTAAGACCCGAGAGACAGTCAGCATTGAGGTGAAGGAGGTGGTGAAGCCCCTGCTGGTGTCCACCCTCGGTGAGAAGAGTGGGAAGGGACTGAAGACCTGCAAGAGCCCAGGGCGGAAAAGCAAGGAGAGCAGCCCTAAAGGGCGCAGCAGCAGCGCCTCCTCACCCCCCAAGAAGGAGCACCACCACCACCACC